CCACATCCTTCCTATAATGCGGTGACCAGAACTGTACACAATACTCCAAGTGCGACCGCACCAGAGTTTTGTACAGCTGCAACATGACCTCATGGCTCCGAAACTCAATCCCTCTACCAATAAAACCTAATGCACCGTACGCCTTCTTAACAACGCTATCAACCTGGGTGGCAACTTTCAGGGATCTATGCACATGGACACCGAGATCTCTCTGCTCATCCACACTACCAAGAATCTTACCATTAGCCCAGTACTCTGTATTCCTGTTACTCCTTCCAAAGTGAATCACCTCACACTTTTCCGCATTAAACTCCATTTGCCACCTCTCAGCCCTTTCAGTTCCCACACCAGCTTCGATTACCGTGAAGGGCTTTCCTTCTCAATTGCTTCCCTTGCCTGAAGTATGGTGACCCTTGGTTAAATCTCCAGTCATCTCTCACTATTGAGAGAGCAGCCCAATGGTCTGGTAAGACTATGATGCTTTTACTTTTTACCTTTACCTGGAGTAAGTGGCTTCAGGCACCAGGGCAGGCGAGCCATGGCTGGCAATGTCGAAACTAGGAGCTTGTTAGTCTGTTGGCTTTACTCAACTGGTTTGATTCATGGATGGTTTGTGACAAAGTACAATGGGGTTAATGAATGTACAACGTAAAGGTATATGTCTAGACAGTGGATTTAGTTTTTACACAATCTGGTATCATTTAGCAGGATTGTATGTGAGGCAGTGGATAAGTTGTTCATGTCTGGTGACCTTTGTAATGTAGAGGAGACCACATTGTGAGCAGCAAATATAATAGATTGGAAGAAGCACAATAATTTGCTGCATCACTGGGAAGAAGTGTTTGAGGATTTGGACAGTGAGTAGGAGGAGATCGAAGGGCAAATGTCACTGATTCCATGGGAAGGTGACTTTGGAGGGATGAGCTGTTGGGGGTGATAAAGGAGTGGGCCAGTATATCATGGAAGGAATACTTCCTTTCAAATGCTGACAGGGTAGGAAAGGGGTGGCCATGACATCGATTGAATGGGGCAGGATGACTGTGAATAAGAAAAGGGAGGCTGGTGGAGTGGGATGTGATAATTTGTGAAAAATGAGTTAGAAACAGGTGAGGGCTCCGTTCACCACCCTGCGTAGAATCCTTGCACTTTGCATGTTCTCCCCATGATTGTGTGGGTTTCCTCCAGGTCCTTGGGTTTCCTCCCACAGATATGTGTGGGTTACATGGATTGGCCATGCTAAATTGCCCTGCAGTGTCCACAGAAGTGCAGGTTAGGTGGATTAGCCATGGGAAATGTGGGGTTACGGGATAGTGTGGAGGATGCTGGGTCTGGGTAGGATGTTCTTTAGACAATCAGTGCAGACTCAGTGGGCTGAATGGCCTTTTTTCGCCAGGTTTTCTGCACCCTTTGTAATTATGTGAATTTAACTTTTGCCACAGTTTTCTTCATTATTGGTTATTTGTTTCAGGGAGTGAGAACCTGTTTCAGGAAATGCACAGCACCGGCCTCTGAGTAACTCTCTGATTGAAAAGACTCCTCGTACGTGTAGAATTAAATGAATCTTGGAGCACGTGAAGAGGCCATTCAGTTCAGTGTGGCTGTTCTGTCCCTCAGAAAAAGCGGTCTAATTGGTCCATCTGTCTATACTTCCATTTGATCCTGTCATTTCTTTTGCCTTTGTTAAATATATATCCAATTCGTTTTTGGAAGTTAATGTTGAATCTGCTACTGCCAAACTTTAGGCAGTGCAATGTAGAACATAACAATTTGTTGTGTGAAATAAGTTCACCTTCTTTTACTCGCCCCAATCTTTCACTGGTTATCACAAGTCTGACTTCCCTCATTATAGACTGTCCTGCCAGTGATAAGAATTTCTCTTTCTTTACTTTATCGAAGTCCTTTCTAATTTTGCTCAAAAGAGAGTGATCTCAGTTTGTCTGCATAACTGAAGTCTTTTCCTCCCTGGTACCCACTCTAGTAGTTGAACTCTATGCCTTTTAAATATCTTTTACAAAATGAAATTCGTTTATTGATCTGATCATCTTGCCATATCTTAGGTTGTCTGTGGAGAACACTTGTATGGGAGTCGAGGATTCTAGCTACATCTGGGATTGAAGTGGGACATAGGTGATATTTGATCTGGAGTGGAACTGTGCTTGAAACTGTGCTTCAGATAAGAAAAGTCCCCTTTCTTATCTGAAGCAAAGTTTCAAGCACAGTAGAAACAACTCAAAAGGAGTTTATTTATTATTGTAAGAAAGATCAGATGTACAGTTACGTCCAGATTTTGTCCCAGTCTGTGAGGAAGGGATGGGTGAGGTAGGGGTGTTTTTGGGTTAGCATCAATTTTGGAAGCATCCTGCTGCGTAGCATCTTAACTAGCCACTCTCTGGATTCAGAAAGGCTGCTCACCCTAGACGGCTGGGTCGGATAGCATGGGCCCATTCATGCCTGGTTGCAATTTTAACTTTAGGTTGACTCAGGCCTGTACTGTTCTAAACTTACTAGTTAAAGCTAGCAGCAGGCAGGATCAGAGCAAGAAGAGACCCAAGTAAGTGGATTTTATTAAAGAAAATACTTATGTTTCATCTTTCACAACCTCAAAGTAGCAAAGCTTGTTTCCAGTCTCTGTTCTCATGTGGGAAGCACTGCCCTCCAGTTTGCGCATAGCAAACTCCCACAAACGGCCTGTCTTTTTAGTGATGTCAGTTGCGGGATGAACATTGGTCAGGGCACTGGAGCAAGCTTGCCTGCTCTCCTTTGAACTAGTGCCTTGGGAATTTTTTTTGGTTCGCCTGAGGGAAAATATAGCTTCAGTTTGATGTCTTATCTGGACTCCTGTGACAGTGCATTGTTGGAAGTATCAGCTTGGAGTTTATGCCTAAATCTCTGAGTTTTCAGAATGCTACCCTCGAAAGCCTCAGCTTCTGGCTATTGTTCTTGGCCTGAATAGCTTTACTGTTAGACCAAGGTGAAGCATTTGTTTTTGGCCAAATATAGCCATATTATGCATTTAAGTTCCTCTAAAATAATTGTAGTATCCAATGTTTCAACAGTAGGGCATGAAATATTGAAAAGCTGGTTGGGCAATGAGTTGCTGCGTTGCATTGTTGAAATTAAAAACAGTGCCTTACATCTTAACAAACAACATTTACATCATAACCACAATTCTGATTGGGAAATGAACAGTCTTTTCGGAAAATGATTGTTGCTGATCATACTGTAGGAACATACCACAGAAGACAGCCATTTGACCCAATGTGTCTGTTTTCTCTCAATTGAGTTCCAATCCTGTATTTTTCCCCATTATTCTGCGAATATTTCCTTTAACAGTATAAATCCAATGCCTTATTGAAAGTTACTGTTGAATCTGCTGGCATCATCCTTTCAGACAGTGCCTACAGCTCACTGCAACAGCTTGGGCTAGTTAAACATTTTCCTCCATGCTTCGTAGTAGTAGCCCCCAATTCCATGTGGATAACAATTGGTGAGAGCTCCCTTTCAGACTGTTGTGTACCCTTGGCCCTGAAGACCCCTCTCATGGAACAGCCTGAGTGTTGAGGGATGGAGGATTATTCTGCTGCATGTTTCTGTACCAGACTTGTCTCATTGACTGTCGGGTAATAGGCCTTTCTTCTATAGACCAGCAAGGAAAGTTAAACACAGTTGCTTTTTGAAAATTAGCAGAAACGATTGCATCGACAGAAGACAAGATTGTACTCAATTGGTAATCGTGGTTTAGCAATGTTGCTAAAAATGAGGCTAAAACATGAATTTGAAAACATAGCTTAAATTAATGGCAATTGTGACTGCCGCTGTATGTTTTGGAGAAATCAGTTCCAGTGATTCAAAGTTTTTATGTACATGGTGGGGTGCCGGGGTGGTTACAATAGCCTGGTTGAGCCTCAGCAAGGCACAGAGTGGCTGGTGAACAGAGCTTGTCATGGGGACAGAAAATGATGGCTTCAGTCTTCCTGGTATTTAATTGGAGGAAATTTCTGCTCATTCAGGACTGAATGTTGGGGAAACAGTTTGTGAGCTCAGCGAGTGTGGAGGTGTTTAGAGGGATGATGATGAGGTAGTGTGTTGTTAGTGTGCATATGCAAATTGACCTGTTTAAAGCCGACACTAATTAATCAGTGATGACAAATTTCTATCTTTTGGTGGAATTGCAACTTTTCAATTATGGACACCTGCCATTTGAAATCTTTTTCTGAGCTCACTTTCCACCTCTCTTATTTTTGTTTTGCTTTGCATGTCAATGATCTAGCACAGATTTACATTAAGATTAAAAAAAATTATGCCCTAAGACTTAAGCATGCTTCATTATCTTGCCTACCTCAGTCTCACTGTCTTCATCTTTCTCTTTCTGTGAGCCTCCTTAAAACCAATTTGTGATCAAGCATTTTGTCATCGGTTGTAATATTTCTTGCTTCATGTTGGCATCAATTTTATTTAGTCATTCACCTTTCCCTTGAAGCAGGTTTATCCAAATGAAAAACATAGATCGAGTTGTCTTTGATCAGCATGATGGACTTCAGTCACTGCCTTTTGTTTTTACCTAGGACATGCTAAATGGCAAAACCAAGCCAGTTCCTTAGAGCAGTGCTTGTAAAACTTTGACACAAACTACTGATCAAGTTTTCAAGAACATTTTCTGGTGTTAGTATTTATTTCTTCAAGTGTTACATGTACAAGCTACGTTAAATTGAAAATGCTGAGGTCAGTTTGGTGTTTTTATGCATTTGTGCACAGTCTTGATGGTAATAGAAAGTGAACAAGAGAAAAACTATTGTCTCTATCTACATTAAAGTTCTATAATTCCACCTGTTTGAAGTGGCTTTAAAGTATTTGCATTTCAGTGTAGATCATAAAACATACTTTTATTTCCCTGCCTGTCAGGCTGCAGTGGATTTGCCACTTTTCACTACAGTGAGTGTATGATTCATTGCCACTCTTGTTGTGGATGCTATTTATTAATATAAGACTTCGTTCTTCAGATCTCTGACATCCATGTTACTGGGGAGTCTGAGGACATGTCAGCCAAGGAGAAGCTGTTACTGTGGTCGCAACAGGCAGCAGAGGGCTACGCTGGAGTCCGATGTGAGAACTTCACTTCATGCTGGAGAGATGGCAGATTATTTAATGCAATCATTCATAAATACAGGTACTAATTTCATACATCTGGCAGACATGTACTGCTGTGCTCTGATTAGTTTTTATCATGTTTCAATTCAGCTTATTGTGTCTGTACCAGTTCTTTGAACTGTACTGATCTCTTGCCCTTTTTCCCATAACCCTGAATATTGTTTCTATTTAAGTAATTATCTAATGCCCTCTTTAATGCCTCAATTGAATCTTCCTCTATTACACTTCCAGCAGCGTGTTCCAAAACCTGACTACTCGCTGTGTGAAGAAAGTATTTTTTTTTCCCTCATTTTGTTTGTTTCTTCTGTTGTCTGTCATTCTTGATTTTTTTTTTCATGTGAGAGAATAGTTTCTCCCTATTTACCATGTTCAATCCCCTCATGATTTTGGAAACTTCTGTCAAATCTCCTCTTAGACTTCTCTCAGTCTCCGCTTCTCCAATCTGTTTTCATGACTGAAGTTTTGCACTCCTGAAACCATTCTCCTAACTGACTTCTGCACTCTCCTCAGTGCATTCAATTCCTTCCTAGAGTGTGCTACCCAGAATTGTACACAGTACTCCAGCTGAGATCTAGAAAATCTTATCTGACTACACAAATCCCATTTTCCATCTCTTGACTCATTGTCCTAGAGCAAGTGGTAGCACGTGAATATCTAAATATTTCTTCAATATTTCCTCCGTATCTACTGTTTCCCCACCGACCTTCTGTTCCAGTCTATCGTATCCAGCTTTGCTCTTGCTCCATTTTGTGTCAGATCTTCCTCAGTTCATTATTCTTATTCTGGATTGACTCCACTGTCAAGCTTAACCTTATGATACAATGATAACTGTCCTTCAAATGTTACCCCACTGATACACGCTCTACAACTGTTGACCCAAAACTCTAATGACCATACCATAATTTGCACCACATCCTATTTACCCATAACCCTTTGCCTGCTGACTGGTATTGAAAGTTGGTCCATCAGCACCGTATATTTTACAATTCTTATTTTTGTTTTCAAATTCCTCAGTGGCCACACTGCCAAACTTTGTAACCTACAAACAAACCCCCTCAAGATCTCTGCTTTCTTCCAGTTCTGACCTTTTTCCTGTCTTCCACCTTAGAGACAGAATGAAAGGAGTACTTTTATGTCCTTTTGTGTTGAAAAAATGAGCCCCCCCAATCCCAGAAAAACTATTCATGAACTGAAATTTGTATATTTTTCTCTGTTTTCGGTATATTTGTGTCAAAGGATATGTGCACGATTCTTCAAAGGAAAGCTCAAAGGACTTTAAAATTATTTGATGATCCTGACTCAACATATTTCTGAGAAAGAGAATTCTAAAGACTCGCAACCTTCTGAAAGAAAATCATGCTCCTTATCTTTATTTTAAATGGAAGATCCCTTTATGTTTATACTCTGTATCATAGCTCAGTAAAATCAAAATATTGTGGATGTTGGAAATTGAAATAAAAACAGAAAGTGCTGCAGAAACTCAGCAGGTCTGGCAGCATCTGTGGAGAGAGAGAGAGACAGAGTTGATGTTTCGAATCCAATATGGCTCTTCTCCAGAGTCTCCTAGTAAAAACCAGTCCCTGAAGGGAAAACATTCTTTCAGCATCTATCTTCTATGTTTTGAAAGTGTGATTGGGATAGGATAGAACTTCATAAATTGGGTCCACCCATTCATTACAGAAACAACCATTGTGAATGTAAAATTATCATGGTTGGGTAACTTGTAGATCTTAGGATTGATGTTGTTAGTATGATTGCAGTTGAAATAATTGTTTGTGCCTGGGTGTGTGCACTGATGATACAGTTTTCACCTGATGCAAGACCCACAAGAAATGAGTGCCAGGGATTAATCTCATTAAAATGCCACATACAAACGTTGAAATGATGCATCGGTGACATAGACCAATATTGTCACATTTTGTGTCGAAGACAGCCATTGGCTCATCCTTAGAATTGTTCCAAACCTTCCATTACATTTCTTGATGTAGTTCTGCAGCTGGTAGCCCTGAATCCTATCTCCCAGCAGAAATTCATCCAGTTTATTGTACAAGGAAATCTTGCAGTGGTTTCAGTTCATTTTTCCCACTGATCTGTCTCACTTTCTCTCTGCCTCTTACTTGGGAAAGCATTCATTCATTTTCTCTTTAACCTGTATTCTCTTTGCCGATAAAGTAAATAAATAAATGGGAGATAAATGATCTGATGATTTCCTTCATGTGTAGATGGAGTGATTAAAAGTGCAATATGCTTCATGTTTAGATCAGTTACGACTTACCTTGGAACTTTCAACTGGGTGTGCTCAAAGTCAGCATTGTCCAAGTGTTAGCATTCTTCACTTTGATGAATGTTTGAAAAATCACATCAAGCCTACATGAAAGCGTTTTGCAAACAAAAATTTATTTGTTTTGTGACTGAAATGTTTGGGTATTTCTTCCATGTTAAGGTCACAAAAGCAACTGTATAGTGTTCCAGTGCAGTTTATGTCTTTGAATCATGGTTTGTGAACAAATGAAGGAAAACTTGCAGTTATAATTGACTGGTTAGGGGGGAATATTGTGTTCATTTCAGGACACAGTACCTGAGGACATATGTCAGATCCTTAGAGAGGGCACTTAATAGAATATATCAGGGATGAGGGACTTTAGTTACTTGGACAGAATAGGAAGGTGGGTTTTTTCTCCCTGGAGCAGAGCAGGATAAGCAGAGATTTAATTCATCTGTTCATAATCATGAACAGTTTTGATCAAACAACTGAAGAAACTTGCCACTGTCGGAGGGGTCAATAAGCAGAAGGGACAGGCTAAAGATGAGCGATGTAATTTTTAAAATTTAGTCAGTTGTTGTGATCTGGAATGCAGTGGAAGCAAATACAGAATAATGTTTTAAAAAGGGAGTTGTATAAAAATAAGCAATCCAGGACAAGTAGAATTCTTTCCAAGAACCTGCATAGGCAGAAGGAACAGTATAGCTGGCTTCCATGTTGATGATGCTGTGAACACCAATATAATCATTCCACTGCCAAGCTCATGCCCAGTTTTTGATTCTTTGATAGGTCATGATGCTAGCTGTGGGAATTGTAACTTTACCTGTCTCTTCCAATTTTCTAATTTGTATACCCAGTATAATTGTCTCAAATCTTCCATCGTCCCTCCTATTGGGTGCCCATATAAAGATTGAAAGAAATGCCATTCATAATTGTATCACCCAAAAGTTCTGCAAAAAGACTCCTTGATGCCAAAATGAGCAAAGGATTTTCATCCATTCCATACTTCAATGACTCACCGTGGGAATTCTTTGTCCTGCGGGAGAACATTAAAATATGCCATTGAACTACTCGAAGGGGAGCAGGGGAATTCTGTGATTGTCATTTGTTCCCCGATCGACATTGCTAAAGTAGATTATCTGGTCATTTATCTCATTTGATGTTTGTAAGATCATGCAGTGTGCAATTTATCTGTCATACTTTCCTAATTACAGCATTGAAAACATTTCCAAAAGAGGCCGTACACTAGTTTGGGTCTTGCTCAGATTGTAAACAATACATAAATTCTGTGCAAAAACAGAAATTGCTCAGAACACTCGGCAGGTGTGGCAGTGTCTGTGGCAAGAAGGCAGAGTTAACTTTTGGGTCTAGTGACCCTTCTTCAGAACATAAATTATGTTTCTATTCAGCCTGTTCTATTTTGCTTTTGCTTATTAGAATGATCTCTTCTCCGCAACCATTGAATTTTATTTGTAGGAGGTGTTTAAATATGTTCCCTTTATAAAAGGCAGTCGTGCAACACAACTGAAATTCTCTGTAATTTTGTGAGAGGTGGAGGCTCATTGAATTTCTTTGCTTTGCTATAATATGCCCAAACCTGCCTAAATCTTGACTGGGCACAGCATTCAAATATTTATTATTCTTGTATCTAATTGCTTCGTTGCCTGTTCAAGCAGGTTCCTGATTAAACCTGGGAGGTACATAATATTTGTAACCACAGTTCCCATAATGGAGCTCATTAAGAAATGTTTCACATGCATTTACTAACGCATTGACTTTTCAGTGATCATGACCTTCCAGCTCTGATTCAAGCTTTTGATTTCAGGTCAATCAAGTGAAAATTTGTGGAAGCAGCCAAGATTTTGGAATGTTCATTTTTAGTTATATAATCGTAGAGATGTACAGCATAGCGATAGACCCTTTGGTCCAACTTGTCCATGCTGACCAGATATCCTAAATTAATCTAGTCCCATTTGCCAACAATTGGCCCATATCCCTCTAAACCATTCCTATTCATATACCCATCTAGATGCCTTTTAAATGCTGTAATTGCACCAGCCTCTACCACTTCTTTTGGAAGCTCATTCCATACATGCACCACTCTCTGCCTGAAAAGGTTGTCCCTTAGGTCCGTTTTAAATCTTTCCCCTTTCACCTTAAACCTATACCCTCTAGTTTTGGACTCCCTTACCCCAGAGAAAAGACCTTGGCTATTCACCCATTCCAAGCCCTACATGATTTTGTAAACCTCTATATGGTGACCCCTCAGCCTCTGACGTTCCAGGGAAAATAGCCCCAGCCTATTCAGCCTCTCCCTATAACTCAGACCCCCCAATCCTGGCAATATCCTTGTAAATCTTTCCTGAACCCTTTTGAGTTTCACAACATCCTTCCTATAGTGGGGAGACCAGAATTGAGCACAATATTCGAAAAGTGGCCTAACCAATGTCCTGTGCAGCTGCAACATGACATCCCAACTCCTGTACTCAATGCACTGACTGATATTGATTCACTGTTTGATTCTTGCCATTTGGTTGAGACCATTCACTGTAGTCACGTTTTCTCTTGCATAAGTGTACAGTAGGAGGGTTAAAAGGAAGTAACTTGCATTTATGTGATGCTTTTTGTGACCACAGAGTGTCTGAACACACTTTATTAGCCAGTATTTGAAGTTATGATGTAGGAATCACGGGCAACTAATTTGTACACAGTGAGCTCCCACAAATGACAATTTAATGAATGGCCAGACTGTCTATTCCCATAAAGAGGAAGTGATGTATGATCAGAACACTAGGGAGAATTCCCTTATTGTTCTTTGAAACATGGTGCAGGATCTTCTACAATTGCCTGAGAGTGCGGACACGTCCTTGGATTAACATGAAAGATTGTATCTCCAAAAGCGCAACACTCCAGGATTGTGAAAGGAAGTTGTCTGGGAGATGTGATTGAAGAAGCTTTTACTGACTCTGTGGTAAATTTTGTAGATAGTACTATGGCCAATTTGTGGATATTTAAACAATTGAAGATGTTTTAATCAATGTGCTAAAGTTTTTTGGGTTTCTTGATAGTGCATTTATCCTAACAGATAGTCCATCGTGTTCCTGACCTGTCCCTTGTAGATGGTTTAAAAGAGTTTGGAGAGTCAGATGTTGTGTTACTCGCCAGAGAATTGCCAGCCTCTACCATTTGTGGCTGATCCAAACTGAGTTTCTGGTAATCAGCAAACGTGGAGAATGTAGACAGTGCAGCACAAAACAGCAGCAGAGTAGTCCATACACCTATGGAGCATTCACAACCTCCTGGAGTACTGATCACTGAAAATTTACAACCCTTTGAGTGAAGTTATTTCTCCTCATCTCAGTTCTAAGTGATCAATCCCTTATCCTGAGACTGTGTCCCTGTGCTTTAGATTCCACAAACAGTGGAAACAGTCTGTTCTCATGACTATCAAGCCTTTTCAAATCTTCTGTTTCAGCAAGAGCACCTCTCATTTTTGTAAGCTCCAGAGAGCATAAATCCAATTTAATCAAAGTTTTGTTACAGGACAACATGGGGATCTCTGTCTTCAGACATTGCTCTGGATATAGAATCTTCCTTGAACTGGTCTGGAGTCCAGTTGAAGTTCTGGAGTTGTGTAAATGTGTATACTAACATTTTTATAATCAGAATCCTCATTATAGCCGCTGCCAATAGGCCCCTCACATTTTTTTCTCTCTCTCTCTCTCTCACCCTCATGCTGCCTCTCACATAGTCACAGCCTCACTTTCTGTACCTCTCACATTTGTACCCTATTCGCTCTCCCACAGTTGCACACCCACTGTACATGCTTGTTAGGGCACTTTTTCAAATTCACACCGTCTGTCTCTCACGGTGTTTCTTTCATGTTGAGCCCAAAATGATGATGTTTTGATTGACACGTTCTCTTTCCCATTGCTAAATCATACAACATGATGAAAGATTTTGAGAGGTATCTAAACAGCAAGTGTTTAATAGATTGTGAAATAATGAAAGGCAGAGTTAAAAGCTGGTAACTGAAGTACGACAACAGCTACATCTGGACTGCGTTAACAATGATCCTTTAATCTGTTTGTTCAGGACAATAGTAAATTCTGGGAAAAGGTTGAGAATCTTTCAGTTATCGCCCAGATTCTATTCATGCTTTTCAGAATCATAGCCTTGATTTATCGACAGTATTTGTGCTCATTTTCACATAACCATACAGAACATGAGAGGCCCTTCAGCCCACTGAGTCTGTACTGCCAAAACTATGCTAAATCTACACTCATCCCACTTTCCAGCACTTGGCCCATAGCCTTGATTGTTATGACACAGCAAGTGCTTATCCAAGTACTTTTTAAAGATTGAGGTTTCCCATCTGAACTACCCTCCATGCAGTGCATTCCATCACCCTCTGGGTGAAACATTTCTCCTGAACAACTCTCTAAACCTCCTCCCTTTCATCTTATAAGTGTGCCCCTGTTACTGACACTTCAACTAATGGCAACAGCTGCTATCAATACACCCTGTCCATGCCTCAATCAGGAACCCCCCTCAAACTTCTCTGCCCCTGATTAAAATAATCCGAGCTTATCCATCGTCTCTTCATAGGTGAAATGCTCCATCTCAAGCAACATCTTGGTGAGTCTCCTCTGCACCCCTGCAGTAGGGTTACAATCTTCCTACAGTGAGGTGACCAGAACTGCTCACCGTACACCAGCTGTGAGCTAACCAAAGTCCTGAATAGCTGCACAACATAACCTCCCTACTCTTAAAATCTGTGCCTTGATAAAGCAAGTATTGCTTTTGCCTTCTTAAATCCTTATTAACCTGCCGTGATATCTTTAGGGATCTGCGGTTGACCACCCAAGATCCCTCTGTTCCTCTGAGCTTCTGAGTGTCCTGCCATTCATTGAGTACTACTTTGTCTTGTTACTTCATCTAAAGTCCATCGTGTCACACTTATCAGGGTTAAATTCAGTTAGCCACTGATCTGTCCATCTGACCAATCATTTTATATCATCCTGAAACCTAAGACCTTCCTCACTGTCAGCCTCCTAGCCAATAATAATGTCATCCATAAACGTACATAGTGTATCCTCACACACCGACCACATTCTCATCTATGTCATCTATACATATCTCAAACAATAATGGACCAGCATTGATCCCTGTAGTATGTGGCTGGATACTAGCCTCCAGTCACACAAACAGCCTTTTACCACCATGCTGTCTCCTGCCACTAAGCCAGTTTTGGATCTAACTTGCCAAGTTACCTTTGACCCATGTGTTTTTACCTTCGTTATCAGTTTCCCCTATGGGACCTTGTCAAAGGCTTTGCTGAAATCCATATAAACTGCATCAACTGCCCTACCTTCATCTATATGCTTGGTCACATGCTTTAAAAATTCAACCAGATTTCTTGGGCATGACATCCCTCTAACAAAGGTGGGCTGACTATTCCTCATTAAACCTCGCCTCTCTGGATAGTGATTAATTTTCTCTCCTTCCGCATTTTCTCCAGTAGCTTCCCTGCCATTGATGTGAGATTAACTGGTAGATAAACATAGAAACATAAAAAATAGGTGCAGGGGTAGGCCATTTGGCCCTTCGAACGTGCACCACCGTTCAATACAATCATGGTTGATCATGCAATATCTGTATTGCATTCCCACCCTCTCCCTATACCTCTTGATCCCTTTAGCCGCAAGGGCCATATCCAGCTCCCTCTTTAATATGTCTAATGAACTGGCCCAAACAGCTTTCTGTGAGAGAGAATTCCGCAGGTTCACAACTCTGAGTGAAGAATTTCTTCCTCATCTCAGTCCTGAATGGCTTATGCTTATTCTTAGGCTGTGACCCCTAGTTCTGGACTTCCCCAACATTGGGAACATCTTTCCCGCATCAAGCCTGCCCAGTGCCATCAGGATTTTATATGTTTCCATGAGATTCCCCCCCTCCTTATTCAAAATTCCAGCAAATATAAGCCCAGTCAATCCAGTTTTTCCTCATACGTCAGTCCTGCTATCCCAGGCATCAGTCTGGTGAACATTTGCTGGACTCCCTTAATAGCTAGAATGTCCTTCCTCAGACTCGGAGACCAAAACTGCACAAAATACTGAAGAAGGGTCCTGGCCCGAAATGTCAGCTTTCCTGCTCCTCTGATGCTGCCTGGCCTGCTGTGTTCCTCCAGTTCCACACTGTGTGATCTCCGACTCCAGCATTGGCAGTTCTTACTATCTCTGACAAAATGCTCAAGTTGTGGCCTCACCAGGCCCTGTATAATTGCAGCATCACATCTGTATTCCTATTCTCAAATCCTCTCGCTATGAAAGCCAGCATGCCATTAGCTTTCCTTACTGCCTGCTGCACCTGCATGCCAACCTTCAGTGACTGTTCCACCATGATATCCAGGTCTCATTGCACCTCACCTTTTTCCTAAACTGCCACGATTAAAATATTAATCTGCCTTCCTGTTTTTGCTTTGTATGCCTCTACCACCCTTCTTGAAAAGTTGAAGCACATTAGCTATCTGGTACCTCCCTGTGGCCAGAGAAGAATTAAAATTTTGGGTCAAGGCACCTGTGATTTGCTTCAACATCTGCCCCAACAGCTTGGGATACAGTTCATTCAGACCTGGGGATTTGTCTGTTTTTAAACCCACCACAACTTCCAGTATGTCTTCACTCCCAGTTTCAGCCTTCCCAAGAACCTCACAGATGACCTTCCCAAATTCTGTACCTACATCTTCCTTCTCTAGAGTGAAGGCAGATGTGAATTCAGTAGGAACAGGAGTAGGCCATTCAGCCCTCAAGCCTGTTTCACTATTCAAGTAGATCATAACTGATCTGTGACCTAATCCCATACACCTGCCTTTGGCCCTTATCCCTAAATCCTTTGCTTATTTAGATACAATAATGTATCTATCTCAGATTTAAAATTAACAAATGATCCAGCATCAGCTGTCTTTTTGTAGAACGCAAGAACTCAATTAACACTTTTCCAATGCCCACAGGCTCCACATGCACGCTTTTCCCATTGCTCACTAATTGATCCTACTCTTTACTTGGTTATTCTACTCCTCTTGAAATACTTGTAGGATATCTTGAGATTCTCCTTGATCTTGCCTGTTGGTGTTTCCTCATGTCCCCTCTTTGCCATCCTGATTGGATTCTTGAGTTCACTTCTGCACATTAAATACAAAAATTGCCATTACTCAAAGCTGTCTGATCATCGTCTAATGGCTTGTTTTGACTTGCAGGCCGGACCTGGTAGATATGAGTCAAGTAGCTGTTCAGAGTAACGTGAGCAATTTGGAACAAGCCTTTGGTGTAGCTGAAAAGCTTGGTGTCACAAGGCTGTTGGACCCAGAAGGTAAACTTGTTGGGAATTTTGTAAACGTGATCTCCTGTCACTTTGAGAGTTAAGGAAAAATAAGTAATGTTCTTTACGATCAGAAGAATGTTTAGTTGTGCAGTCTATTTCTTGATGTAATCTCTGATACAACCAACTGCAACATGAGGAGTGTTCTGAATATTTCATGGCTGAGTTGATGGTCAAGTGAAGTGATCCCTATTCTTTCCTTAGATATTAATGTTTCATCCCCTGATGAGAAGTCTGTGATTACATACGTTTCGTCACTCTACGATGTTTTTCCCAAAGTCCCAGAAGGCGGTGAAGGCATCCATGCAAATGTAAGGATTCACAATGTATTCTCACTCATTAGATGATGATCGTTTCATTCTGATAGTCCGTATAAATGTTTGCTTTTAAATATGATATAACTGCTTCTTGAATTGGAATGACTTTTTTCAACTTGTCTGGCCTTCTGCTAGGATGTTGATGTCAAGTGGATTGAATACCAGAATATGGTGAACTACCTCATGCAATGGATCAAGCATCATGTGACAGTCATGTCCGATCGGAGCTATTCGAACAATCCTGCAGAACTTAAGGTAAGGTGTTGTGGGATGAAAACGCTCGATTTCCTAAAATGGAAAGTGGAATATTTTTATTGCTTGATGTCTTAATTGGTCTGACCTAATTTTGCAGCACTTTGGACAGTTGAGTTAGACTACTTCTAACTTGTCAATTGTTAACCCCTTCAGGCACTTTATAACCAGTACATGCAGTTCAAAGACACAGAAATCCCACCAAAAGAGAAAGACAAAACTAAAATAAAGCAGCTGTATAAATTGTTGGAGGTAAGTGTGCTTTGGTTGAGTCACCTATTATGCTTTTACTGTATGTAGCCCTGTAATACTGAAAGGGGAGTGAAAATTCACAATGCATTTTGGGGAAAATATAAGAGGATTTAGTTTAAAACATGTTTGGACTTTGAAAGGACAGATTACATTTGTTTTCTTTCTTCTTATCCCTCACTAGAGAAAGTTGCATAATAATTTTGTTAACTGGCTATATTTTTATTTATCTTCAACTCCTCTTTACCTTGAGCAGTGGAAATCTTGGGATAAACATATTGCTCTCTACCAAATATATATGCAGATGATGCATATTCAGGAAAGATTGAACAGACTTAGGCTTTTTCTCTAGAGAAGGGAAGGCTAAGGTGTGAGCTGCTCGAAGTCTTTAAGGCAACAAAAAGGTAACCCACTTTAACCTGTTTGATGTAGGTATGCCCCAGTGCTGTTAGCAGAGGTTGTTAGGGGGCAGGAATTTCAAGATTTTAACCCAGGGAAATATCTGCAGTTTTTTTGCTGTCGATTGTCATTGAACTTTGGCCTTCTGAAAATATTCTGTCGCCATGACAACATATTTAAGTTAGAAATTTGAAAACAATGACTTCACAGATGAGACAGCCAAAAAAAGCAGACTGTGAAAAGACTATTCAGCCTGTCCATGTTACACAATCGTTTAGATCTCTTTTGTGTGGTAGTTCCATTTCCCTCGATGTTTTGTGAATAAGCCTTTATCTCTCTGAATGTAGAATTTATTCTTTTGATTTTTTTTTTGGTTGATACCATCTCAATAGTTAACTCTCATTGGCTCACTCTTGATTTCTGCAGAGAAGGATCTAGATTTATAATTTAGTTTTGACAATTCTTCATTCACCACCTGCTCCCTGGTATTTTCCCACACTTTCCATCTGATGTGGTTATACCTTTACAAACCTGGCGTGGTTTTCCTTTTACTCATTGTTCACAACTTCTTCGATATTCACCTGAGAATAAAGCACTTGCAGGTGCTGTTCTTGTCCCCCTCCCTATACCTTGTTCAACATTTCCCAGAATTGTTGCTTTCCCCAAAGCATGTCCAGTTCATCATTACTTTGCTTTCTCAGTGAAGTGAGCAGCCTAGACAAGTACAACACATGCGCAAGCGCACACGCATGCATACACATGTGTACATACAGACGTGCATATACAGACACGTGCACACACACTCGCGTGCACGCGCATGCACATACGGACATGCACACATGCATACACATGCAGTCTCATATTATCTACATTATATCTTTAGATTTGACTTGTTTTAGAAACCTGTTCAGAAAATAAAAATTATGTATTTCGCATCAACACTGTTTTCTAGGTGTGGATAGAATTTGGTCGCATTAAACTTCCTCAAGGCTATCATCCAAATGATGTGGAAAAGGAGTGGGGAAAATTGATCATTGCTATGTTAGAAAGAGAAAAGAGCTTACGGCCGGAAGTGGAAAGGTCAGTAAAGACTGGTGTTTGTTATTCAAAACAATGAAGTTTCTTTGTATGATTGACCATGGATTATCAACTGAATTAAATTAGGTTTCTATGCCGCACAGTGACAACAACATACCTCAGATACACATGTACTAGAATCAGTTTTTTGTGAGACAAAAACAGAAATGCTGGAAAAACCCAGCAGGTCTGGCAGCATCTGTGGAGAGGAAGTAGAGTTAATGTTTTGGGTCCAATGACCCTTCTTCAGTTCTCATGAAACTTCGCTGTCTACCTCAATGCAATGGCAATAAATGCAACTGGATAATAGGAAGTAGGCACTGATGTTTTGTTTTAAGACTGTGTACAACAAAATAGTTCTGAAAAATTATGTACTGTTTCCACCCTTAAATCTTCAGTGTTGAAGACACCAATGCTTGTTAGAATTCTTGTTTCCACTAAATGGTCTGAAGGCATGCAAACTAAGTTGAACTTAAATTGTTAATAGTTTAGTAATTTAACATGCTGTATGACAGAATTATTCCTTCTCTGCTGAGATGTGTTCAAAATGGAAATGCTTTTTTTTCTAGAATACCTTGACTGTTCGTCTTTGTAACTTTTTTGGTGTATTTGTAACAAATTCTTGTTTAGTACTTTTAAGTACCTTGGCCTTGATACTGTCCATACTTCTTTTGAGCTCTTTTCAACATTAATGACTTCATCAAACGTGAAGAAGGATTTGTTCTCATTTTGAACTGAAGCCAGGAATACAAATTGAGTTACAGATTCAAGTTTGCAAATTGCTGGGTAAGCTGAAAATCCTGGCAAAGAATTAAAGTAGAAAGCTGCCTTTGTGCAGAAATTTACAAGAGAAAATAGTATCAGCAATGAAATATTAATATTGAAGTGAGATTGAAATGTTCTGATTTATCTAATTGGGCTATTCAGAGTGACAGACAAGAACCAAGATTTTTTCAAGAAAGAAAGACTTGCGTTTATGTACTGCCTTTCACAGCCTCCAGATATGCCAAAACATTAACAAATTATGGGCCAAATTGATTGAATGTCGCCTTCAAAAGCTGGCACCTCTGAAAATGTAGCATTTTGATAGTATTGCCCTAGGAGTGTCAGCCTAAATTATTCACCAGAGTCTTTAGATTGAGACTTGAGTCCACACCATTCTGACTGTGGTGAGAGTAGTGCTTTGGCTAACACACTGACCTCTCAGCCTATTATTTAAGTGTTGCATTGAAGTATCTTTGTAGTACTTTGAAGAACAAAATGCCCTGCCTATATGATACTGATTCGGAAGAACCAAAGTATCAATAGGTTAGTTTTTTGGGTGTTGAGAATTAGCTGATTTCAGGCTGCTTGTGTACAGCAGTTGTTCTCCATGCCATAATACCGAGGGATTGACAAAACCGGTCTTGGTCTCCAGTTTGGATGCTGAATATGTTAGAAAGTGCACTTTGGCACATGTGTCTGAGCAAGTTAGAGAATATTAGATCCTGTGGTGCCTGTGATGGTACCATTGTCCCTCACTGTGTAGACCTGCACATGATGATTGGCTATTTAAGTGGGATATTGAGGAAACCCACGAACAGTAATTCACCTGGATTTACCCTTTGATCTACTGCATTAATAAGAGGAACTGGAGAGCATTTTAACTAAAAATAAACTGATGAATGAATGGGATGATAGCCTGAGGCTGACTTAACCGCTGTGATCTGAAAATTCTTCACTACTTCTTCACTAATTCTTCACTACTAAAGAGTGCAAAAAATTTAAACATTGCATTAGGGATAAGGTACAATACAGCAGCCAGCCTACGTTTCTGTTACTAATATTCAAAGAAAACAATAAAAATAAAGAGGCAGCATAGAATAATGAAACAAAAACAAAAAGTGCAGGAGAAATTCAGCAGGTCTGGCAGACTTAACATTTTTGAGTCCAGTGACCCTTCTTCAGAACTGTTCTGGACAAGGGTCACTGGACTCGAAACGTTAACTGTGCTTTCCCTACATGGTTGCTGCCAGACCTGCTGAATTTCTCCAGCTAGTTCTGTTTTTGTTTCAGATTTCCAGCATCCACAGTTCTTTGTTTTATTTATTGAATTGTGAAGCCTTTTCATGTGGAATGAGTTTGATCAGAGCGGTGACAACTTTATAATTGTTTTTCAACATTTAAACAACTTGGGTTCAATTTCGAAATCATCAAGAATGGGTTTAGTTGGTTGCCAAGAGAAGTTGTTACTTTCTTTCATCGCTAAAGAAAATCTTCACTTGATTTCATTGAATTGGAATGCTTGTTTGGTGGTTTCTGATATGGGTAGGGCAGTGAAAAGGAGTGTCTCAGATTTATTAATAAAACACTAGATGACACAACAAGTATGCATGCCCAGCAGCACATTCCTGATTGTTTGATCAGAACATTAAGGTCTGAAGCAGTCTGCAGGTGAGGTCTCGCTTGTACTTGTACTGGAGCGACCAGCTGCTGAGAGTGTAGCTTAGTACGAGGCGATCTAAAGCTGCAGAAGTTCCTCTGCTGTTCTGCTGCATTGATCGCAGACGTCTGGTAGGGTCTTTGGGTTTGACAACTGGGCTGCTGCTGGGCATGTTGAAACTGAATGACCAGGCAATAGCCTTTGGTGGCAACAACCCCAACTCCCTTTGCAACAGCACTAGCAATAGCACCAGCTCTATCGAGAGCTTCTCACCTGGCAGCTCTGGTGGGAGAACCTTCTTTAATTCTCGGGCATCTTCCAGCAGTGACACGGATGGTAGCAGGTACGTTATGTGTGCAGAGTGAGCACTGATGCGGTGTGCCTCCTGTATGTAACAGGTGCACTGCCTGGTCTGAAGGGTAGTGGAAGCCAACTCAGTCATAAATTTCAACAGGGATAGATGCTCCCAGAATAAAGATTTGCAGATTTGTTTGGGGGAGGGAGTTGGGCAGATTGGGAGGCAGTGGGACTAATATGATAACTTCTTCCATAAATTCACACAGGAATGATGGGCTAAATTGTCACCTCTTGTGTAGTAATCTGTGATTCTATTGCATTTTAACATTATAGCAGCTAAATAATTTTAATTATCGAGAGAATTTCGTTAATCTGTTACTGAGATGTGACTGAATGCAGTTCAACAAATTCATTGAATGATACAGGCATGCTCGGCTGAATGGTCTTCTATGCTAGGTAGTACTATGCTTCTATGATTCCCTTCTGTAGTTCCCTCATTCCCATTGCACCACATTGCCCCCCCACCAAAACCCTGTATTCTTATATTAGCTTTTGTGCTAAAGTTGCTTGTGCTTTAATGTCTATTTGCTTGTAACGATTTTTCACTCCTATTTTATTCCTGTGATCTCAATTATATCTTAACATTGCCTAAGGTCGTTCTTTCTAAAGAAACTGCACACAGTTTGGCACGGCATTTCCTATAACAGCACTGACTTTATTTTTACTTATGTGGAGTTTTTAAGGTGGGAATACAGCCCACGGTACTTCACAAGGGTATTACAAAACAAAATTTAATATTGGATCACGTAAGGAAATTTTGGGGTCCGATAACTAAAATTAGGGTCAAAGAGCTAGGTTATGGAACGTCTCAAAAGAAGTTAAAAAGACTGAGAGCGTTAAGGAGGAATTCCAAAGCTAAAGACTCAGACAACATTGTTGGAGTTATTAAATTTGGGAAAGTTTAAGAGGTCCAAATTGGAGGAGCACAGCTATCACAGAGAGTTGTAGAGATGGTGGAGACTACAGGGATAGGGAGGGGTGAGGCCTTTGAGGACTTTGAACAGAGGATGAGAAATTTGAAATTGAGTTGGTAGAAAACAGTAAGTGCAGGAGTGAATGGATCTTGGTGTGAATAGGACATAGGCAATAGCATTTTGGATGGCTCAGATTTACGGAAGATAGAATGTTGAGTGCATTAGCAGAGTCAGATCCAGAGATAACAAATGCATTAATGAGGCTTTCAGCTGCTGATGAACTGAGGCAGAAATGGAGTTGAATAATACTACAGATACAGGTGGTCAGGGTGATGGCACAATTTGTGAGTGAATCTGACATTTGTCATTGGCACTTGGGATGGCATTTGTGACTTTGACAAGAGCTGTTCTGAACATTTTGTGCTGGAATAGTAACCAGACTGAAAGGATCAAACCTGGCATTCTGGATAAGATTGGTATGGATTTGGGAGGTGAGAGCAGGTTTCCTGAGAAGAGGGTCATTGATAACAGATGTGAAGAAGAGAGAGAAGTACATGAAGAGAGAACCACTAGCAATATCAGCCACTATGGAAACTTGGTGGTGAAGCTGGGTGACCATTTCTTTGGAGGAAATAGGATTGATTTGATTTATTTATTGTTACAAAATGCAGTGAAAGGTGTTGTATAGTGTCGCCACTCTCCTGCGCCATCTTAAAACACAGAAAAGTAACCAAACGTAGAATATAAAGGCAGAAAAATGAAGAATAAATAAGATTGAGGGACTGAGGAGCAGGAGGTGGATCTCATGAACAATACCTGAAAGGGTATGAGGGGAAATTAAAACAAGTAGAGTAGGATATGAGTTGGAGAATCAGACAGCAGGAGCCTTACTGAAAGTTTGGTCTAATCAGCTAAGGCAAGGAAGGGAACTGGCAGAGGCAGATGATGCAATAGACTCAATCTTAGTGACAAAAAGACTCTACCAGCTGCTTACACTGGCACTTTAAGTGACTCAGATTGAAATTATGGTAGAGATATATATTCACTTCCTATTTTTGTTTTTTTATTTTTGATGATTGAAGCTGAGAATGTTTAGAATGGCAGGCTTTCTGTGTTCCCCCTGCAATCCGTTGTTACAGAAAGCAATCAGATCCTTATAGTGAGTCATTACAGAAGAGGGCCATTAACTTTAGTCTGAATAAAGAAGAGACAAATAAATGAATCACAACTGGTTGGATTTTAGGCAGAATAACAGACCATTATTAAAACCCAAAGAGGCCATTTTGGAAAATGGCATAAATCGTTTGTATCTCATCAGCTGCTGTTATACATCTCCCTCGATTTTTGTTTCTAGTGAAGTCACTATAAGTAGAAGTCAAGAGAAGTAACTAATGTACAGCTGAAACAATCATTTATCTTATATTGCAGCACAATTAAAATTCCCCCTGTTCTGCTTGACTTTTATTCTCATTTCCTTTTTCCAAAAACAAATTCTCCCTCTAGACTTGAAATGCTGCAACAAATCGCCTGCAGGCTTCAGTGTGATAGCGTGGCGTGTGAAGACAAACTGTTACGAGCGCGAAATTCATACCAACTTGTAAGTAACATGCTGTGCACTCAGTCTCTGAGATTTAATCTGGCAAACACCAGGCTGTTTGATGTTGAATATATTCAAGGTTTTGGGTTTTATACCTGTTGTGTGTTAACAGAATTTCTCCTTTTTCAAACGTCCAAATTGTTTCAGGATGCTAAGCGGATGGAATCAGGACTTCAGTTTCAGAATGAGACAGAGGTTGCAGGGTACCTTTTAGAATCTGAAAATCTCATCCGTCAACAGATTGTTGATGTCCAGATTCTAATCGATGGAAAGTATTATCAGGCAGACCAACTTGTTCAAAGGTAGGACCCTGAATCATGCAAACAATATTGTAAAATAATGATCAGCAATAATCTTAGAATTTACTTCAGTTAACCTTGAATTAAAATATGAAATGACAATTTCAAAAGGCCACATCTTTTGTCTGTGTGGTTTTCAGTTGTTTACTATGTCAGTGTAAAATTTTCTCCCCTCTGTGTCTTTGTTTATTCCACAAAGTGCTGGTGTTCAATGCCCTGCCCAAGAGCCCATGAGAGAGAAAGGAAGAGCTTGCATTTTTTGTAATGCATTTCATGATGCCTACAAGAGCTTTACAACCAATACAGTCCTTTTGAAATGTAGCCATTATTGGAACGTGGGTGAGGATGAACCGGCTGTTCAGATGCTGCAGTCAAGTGGCAGATTTGTGACTGGATATCTAGCAGAGATTGCTGAGTGGGGACAAGGTGGAGAGGCAGCCGCCCACGTCCTCCCTTCCCCTTCCGATCCAGGGGTACTGAGGCAAATTGTAGCTGCTCTCCAGCTGAGATCAGTTAACTCTGGAGATCATGAAGTCAGCTTCCTGACCTCAGTTGGGCGAACTGGATCAATCAGTACTCTGCTGTTGATGATGACCACTTGTTCCTCCAAATGCTGCATTACTTTTTTCTCAATGAAAGTGGCTTCACATTTTCAGAGTTATAAATTCATACTATACAAATTTGTCAAAAGTGAAAGAACTGCAGAAGATTAGTAACAAAAACAGAGATTGCTGGAAAAGCTCAGCAGGTCTGGCAGCATCTGTGAAGAGAAATCAGAGTTAACGTTTCCGGTCTGGTGACCCTTTCTCAGAGCTATAAATTTGTCATTAGACAGACCAAATTAGATTCAATAAGATACAAGATTCACTTGGAAGTAAATATCAGCGTGGGTATCCTTCAAAGGGGCTACTTAATGACAAAGTAGCATCCTATGTAAAGGTATATTTAGAGGGATACTAGATCATTGCATGTGTGAGGGAAAAAATGTACAAAAAAAGTGTTGAAATGGTTAAATAAAGTACACAGAAGCATAGGAACAATGGACTGGCTGGTTTCTGCTGTAAATTCCACACCAAACTGATAATATTTGGAGACAAGTCGCAGGGCGTTGTCTGCTGCGTTCAGCCATATTCTAATAATGCCAAATATGGAAGCAGGTAGTGTGTTTGCAGAGTAATGACAGATTGTCTGAGATTGACATCCAGATATAATGTTGGTCAGAACATAAGGAACTTTTTACCCTGAATGAAATTTAACTTGACTCTAAAAGATCCCGTGGTGTTAATTCGTATGAGAGCAAGGACGTTCTACGCGGTACCTTGGACCAGGATATCTTGCCTTCAACCAACATCATTGAAACAGAATATCTGGTCATTATCACATTACAGTTAGTGGGAGCGTGCTGTGCATAAATTTTCTGCCCAGTTTCCCACAATACTCCAGTGACAACATTTCAAAAATACATCTTTGTTGAAAAACATTCTGGGACAACCCTTAGGTTGTGAAAAGTGCCATATAAGTGATAGTTTGTTCCTTTCTCTCAGCAATCATTCATGCTGACAGTGATTGCAAAGGGTTAAGAAACACTTATATTTCCATAACCAGCGTTTCTTAAATTGGTGAACTAAATTAACTAAGTTGATAAATATTATTTTCTTGTTGAAAATCTTCTTTAAATATACAATTTATTTTACCTTTTGAAGGCGGACAATAGGAAAAATTCAAATGTGAAATTAAATGAATGTAATGTGACTTACTTTCTGTCCCCAGAGTTGCAAAGCTGCGAGATGAGCTGATGTTACTGAAGTCTGATTATTCATCGCTGTACAATAAAGGGCGCTCCTTATCTTCAGAGGAGACCCAGTTGATGATGGCTGGGTTAAATCAGAGCCTGAATCAGAGTTTCTCATCAGGTTTTTCCCAGAGTTTGACACCATCTTTGACTTCCAGTTTATCTCGGAGCTTGACGCCAAGCTTGACCCATGGATTGACCCCAGTTCTCACACCAAGCTTGCCTGCAACACTCTCCTCTGGCTTAAAACCCGTTCTGGCACATGGCTTCATTCAAGGCTTTGTCCCCTGTATGGACCCAGACACAATCCAGACAGTAAAACTGATGCAGATCCGGAAACCATTGCTGAGGTCACAATTCATTGACCAGTCTCTGACGGAGGAGGAGATCAACATGAACTTTTTGCAGGACTTATTAAGCTGGGTGGAAGATATGCAGGTAAATAGTGCAATAAATCTTATCTACTTTGGTTTCTTTTTGCCATCTTAATTTTTATGATGTTTGTACTTTATTTACTTTGATAAAATAAGGACTTTTCACCAGTGTGACCAGATTGTGATTATGTATTTTTTCTGTAGGTTCTAACTTTTTTCTTCTGATTGCTCTTTTTTGAATTAGGGCTTTAACTCTAACCCTAAATTTATTAATTTCTGCTTTCCTGGAAGGTCATGGATGCATTGTTGTTAGAACCTGATAGAACAATTATCAGTCCAATAGCTTTAACTATGTGAAATAAATTTCTCTTGTTGCCTGAGACAACAAGGTGTAGAGCTGGATGAACACAGCAGGCCAAGCAGCATCATAGGAGCAGGAAGGCTGACGTTTCGGGCCTAGACCCTTCATCAGAAATGGGGGAGGGGAAGGAGGTTCTGAAATAAATAGGGAGAGAGTGGGCGGCGGATAGAAGAGGGATAGAGGAGAGGATAGGTGGAGAGGAAACAAACAGGTCGAAGAGGCAGGGATGGAGCCAGTAAAGGTGAGTGTAGGTGGGGAGTTAGGGAGGAGATAGGTCAGTCCAGGGAGGATGGACAGGTCAAGGGGGCGGGATGAGGTTAGTCGGTAGGAGATGGGGGTGCGGCTTGAGGTGGGAGGAGGGGATAGGTGGGAGGAAGAACAGGTTGGGGAGGCGGGGACGAGCTGGACTGGTTTTGGGATGTGGAAGGGGGAGGGGAGATTTTGAAGCTTGTGAAATCCGCAACTCATCCCTCACACCCCGTCCACGCAATAAGAACCAAAAAAGAATCCCCCTCGTCCTCACGTACCACCCCACCAACCTCCAGATCCAACGCATCATCCTCCGACACTTCCGCCATCTGCAATCCGACCCAACCACCAAAGACATCTTTCCCTCCCCACCCTTATCTGCTTTCCGGAGTGACCACTCTCTCCGTGACTCCCTTGTCCGCTCCACACTCCCCTCCAGCCCCACCACACCCGGCACTTTTCCCTGCAACCGCAGGAAGTGCTACACCTGCCCCCATACCTCCTCCCTCACCCCCATCCCAGACCCCAAGAAGACTTTCCACATCAGGCAGATGTTCACCTGCACATCTGCCAATGTGGTATACTGCATCCGTTGTACCCGGTGTGGCTTCCTGTACATCGGGGAAACCAAGCGGAGGCTCAGGGACCGCTTTGCAGAACACCTACGCTCGGTTCGCAATAAACAACTGCACCTCCCAGTTGCGAACCATTTCAAATCCCCCTCCCATTCCTCAGACGACATGTCCATCCTGGGCCTCCTGCAGTGCCACAACGATGCCACCCGAAGGTTGCAGGAACAGCAACTCATATTCCGCTTTGATACCATTGGGCTGCAGGGTTCCCATGTGGATTTCACAAGGTTCAAAATCTCCCCTCCCCCTACCACATCC